CAGCGACTGCTGATATGCCTATTGCAGAATCGTGGATAAGCTTCAAAGGAGCCCTAGGATTCCCCAGAGCACAGTTTGAAAATCAGTGCTCCGCAGCTTTGTTCTAATGTTTGTTCATAATTTAACCATAAAAAGCTGCAGATTTAGCATCAGTCAGGGGCTTGGCCCAGTCAGCACAGCCCTACCTGGATGTGCTCACTTTCCCTGTTCATAGCTTGAAGCTGGCAGGGAAAAACATCCTTCACAGCCTTGCATATGAAGCTGTAAACTTTATACTGCCGTGATGGATGCTGCAGCTAGATCGGTATTCCCTGCAGTAGAGGTGTAAAAAGGTCCACGTGCCTAAGCAGCCAGGGAGCTGTAATCAGCTCTGAATCCTAGCACATGTCTGTTGTGTGTGTACATATCTGCTCTTCACACTTCAACGTTTGCTGTGGGAAAGCACAATAGCCACAACAAGCACAGTGGTGCATAAAGGGCACCTCTGCCCCCCTCCCACTTTTTAAGCTAATTCTCTGATCCTCACAGATGAAGATCAGCAAGAGAGAAAGAGACAGAGAGAGAATTATGCAAGACCACTTAGCCTCATGGCTCAGGCCAGCTCCTTCAAGTTGAGCCTGCACTTGAGTCCGACACCATCCACTTTACCACGCTGCCACTAAGATGAACCATTGCTTTTCCTGCTTTAATTATCTCAGCCTTTAGACATGACTTGCTTATAACTAACTCCAATCCTACTGTATTTGTCACAGGGACTGGTATAAACAAGTGACAGTAATAAACAAATTGTATGCTGCAATTTGTTAGCCCCTGGGAGCAGCAAGGAGAAACTATTGATTTTTCATCAAAGGTCTGGGAAGATAAGCCATAAACTACTTTCAAAGAACATTTGCCTCCCAGAATTAAATTCCCAGATGCACCCTATGCAACCCCCCAAAGTCAATTGCTTCTTTGCAGATGTCTTTAAATCAAATCTGAAGACAGCAAACAAGTTTCATTGCACCCCTGGTGTCAGTGAGAGGGGGACAAAATGACATGCAATGGAAACCACATTTTGGCACTGATGAATGAACATGGATTGGTAGTGAGTTGTCCTGTGAAATTGATTCCTGTGAAATGTCTAGATTTCTAGACATAAGCATTAGCTGCATTATGTTTATCACAATTACGGACATGGTCATTCCCATTCCTGAAGGCTATTTGAGGTGGACGTTTCCAACTATTTCTACAGGTTTGTACACCCCTGGGCAGAAGAACCTTAATGGCCCTTCCCTCTGTATGCCCGCCTTCTCAGCCCATCATTTCTGGAGACTTGTTCCTCTCCCTTCTCATCACAACTTTTCCTTGCTTGCTTGCCTGGTAGTGAGCACACAGGGAGCAAGTAGGTTGAGCAGCGTGATATGGCGAGAAACTTGCAGTGATCAAGAAGAGAAGCAACTTTAGTGAGTCTTGTGAGTGGACGCCTGCTCGGATGTGACCATGTGCTTGCAATGCAATTGTATTGGTTCTTAGAATCACAGAATCCTACAACAGTCGAGTTGGAAGGGGCCAATAAGGCCATCGCGTCCAACTCTGCTCAGTGAAGCACCACATGCTAAAGCATCCCTGACAGATGGTTGTGCAGGTGCATCTTGAATGACTCCAGTGTGGGAGAGCCCATGGCCTGAGATCTAGCTGGAATTTGCCTTCCTGGAACTTGAGCCCATTATTCCATCTCCTGCAAGCTTTGGGATGAGTTTTCTCTCACCTCCTTTGGCAAGAAAGTTTGAGCTGAGATAACTTATAAAATAGATAGTTATGCACCTGTTATCCAGTAAAAGGTGGTGTGTTCAAGGAACAAGGAAACCACCTGTCCTTCCCAGTCTGTTGACCACTTAATGCAACACAAGGCATGCCATCTTTTTAAACCTCCTTTATGTTCCTATTAGTACAAGAATGATTGTACTAATAGCAGCCACTGTTCTCATAATTTAAAATCCTAAATTTTGTGAGTAAATTAAACTGGCTTCTTTAAAAAAACAACATGAAGGCTCCCCACTCCCCAGTACAGCAGTGTTCATTCCTATTAAATGCCAGGCAACCTTGAATGCTTGGGACAGGAAAAATAGATTTAATTACATGTGTCATTCGGAGGCCGTTTTGTCAGAGCTCTCTGATGAAACTGTTAAGTCTTTAGCAGATAAGAGAAATTACTGTGTTGCTTATAAAAGTTTCTCATTAAATGAGCAAGAAAAAATAATTAATTTTAGTTGCCAATCAAAGCATTGAACAAAGTGTGGAAAGGGCATATAAAAACTAGGGAGTTTTAGTCTCCTGGTTTTAATTTCCATGTATATTCAGGATTACTTGGTCTTTTGTTAGCCAATGTTATTAATTTCTATTCGGTTTTAGGTCACCTGCCTGGCTTTGTCCAGTTTGAGTCCAAGGAGCTGTTGCTTTCTTCTAGTCATAGAAGATCAGATTTCCTGCTCCAGTCTGGTTCCTTTTTTGATATCATGTTCGGGATCACTGTTAGCTTTTAGAGGAGCAATAGCTCAATTGAAATACAATGTGTGGATCTTTAATTTTATTATTTTATTTTATTAGCAATGCTTGGAAATCCGTTAAGCTTGCATGTGGTTTTGATTGTGCCAGAAGCAGGGAGGATTTCCTTGAAGTTAAAAGGTACAATTAATCTCCTGTTGCACTTCCAATTAACTAAATTGCTAACCTTATTGTGAAAAGTAGGAATGCAATTGAGTTGCTGCTTGAGGCATGCTAACAGGGTGGGGAATGAAGTAATTTAATTAACTGGCTTCTAGTACATTAAGAAGCATGGTTCTTTCCATTCTTCTCCCTCAATACCTTCACAAAGATCAAGAAATAATGTGGGTCCTTGTATCACAAGAGAGATGAGTACTGTGCTCAATTTTCAGTGTCTCACATAGCCTTTGTCGAGGCAGAGCCTACAGATGTGGAAGAGTGAATCCAAAGTTGGCTACTCCTTCCAATTGCCGCTGGTTCCAAACATCCTATTGCTGCTGAAATATTGCTCCTTCAGGAGCAAGGTGGCTCTTACATTAGCTTAGTGTCCTGGTTGCAGTTCCTATACAACTGCTCTGATTCTGTAAGTCACAGGAAGATGATACAGAAGAGAATGTTATGTGGTCACTTCCAGCTCCAGGGATGCTCCTGCCCTGGTTCCTGGGAACCTTAGCATGGTAAAGTAACTACATCCCAAGCTCTCATAAATATCCCACTAAAGCCCCACAGTGTCTTAAGGTAGTGTAAAGCTCAGTGTGTTCAGCCTAGCACACTGGAGCTTTCCGGGTGAAAAGCATGCAAGCTCCTGAGTGGCTGGGTTTGCCTGGCACGTCAAGCCACAGTGACAGGCTTTTAAATATCTTTGCTTGTCTGTTATGTCATCTGAACTCAGCTGAGGTGCTCCAGAATGGTATGTTTTATCCTGAGAGTCCATGATAACAAGCAATGGTTTGTTCACAGGTTTCTGCTTACTGCAATTGCTTGTTGTGCTGGCCAAGTCCAGTCGCCAGTGTGGTAGAAAGGCCAGTGTGGTAGAAAGGCCTGGGCAGGAGAGCTGCTCTGTCACTCTACCTAAGTGGCTAGCCAGAGAGTGCTGAAGGCAGCTCTCCCTCATATATGAGCAGAAGGGGGGGCAGGGCATCCTGGCTGATTAATCCCCCCCCCCCCGCTCATGCATCAGGGAAACCCCTTGGATGCAAGCAGAGGGCAGGAGCTCAGCTGGGCTGCACTGCCCAGTGGGAGGCAAAGCCGCTTAGTCCTGCTCCTGCCGGAGAGGAAGGGGGGGACGATGCTCTGCCCCAACCTGCATGAGAGGCTTTTTCTTCAGTAGGACTGGGGAAGGGAGAACCTGGGCTGGGGAGGATGCTCCTTTCTCAGTGGACGCTCCTAGCCCAGGCCCACCTTGCCTCACTTCTAGGGGTGAGGCTGGGAAATGCGGAGCCCTGGACATCCTTGCTTAGCCCAGGTCCTCTTTCCCTTTTCTCTCCAGTAGCCATTAAATAGAGGGCAGGTCTGCCGCCCCCCCTCCCCCACTCCATTCCTGCTAGGGAGAAAGACACTCCTACAGGCACCAGACTGGGGATGTGGGCTGGTACCAGAGCACCTTTCCCCCAATAAAGACTGATAAAGCGGGGCAAGCCCAATGGCTTTTCCTCCCTCCCACTTGGGATAGTGGCACTTTGGCGGGTACCAGGGCTGGGGGGGCTGGAATTTGCCAAAATGCTGTTCTCCACAGTGGGAGCAGGCAAGAGCTCCCTTGAGCTCTTCTTCACTCCTGCTGGACAGAAAGAAGGGAGAACATGGGTTAGGCAGGGCTGCCCCATCCCCAGCACATCCTGCTCTGAGCTTTGGAAAAGCAGACTGCTCATTTTTTGACCAATCCACTTCAAATTAGTTCACATTGGAAGAAATAACATATTCCTGCTGGGAAAATTCATTTCTTCCGCAGTGGCTGGGACAGTCCCTGCTCAGCTCAAAAGGAACAGGGCATTCTGCAGGGGGTGATACGGTCAGTGACAAAAGTGACTTCCAAGTGACAGAAGTCAGTGCTGTGCTCCTCTGACCACTGGCCTCACAAGAGGCTGGTGGCCCCAATCTGAGTGGGGCAGTGTATCCATTCAGGGCTGTAGTCTGAACCTTTCCTGAGCTGTGTGTGTTGCTGACCCCATTTTAGGAAAGGGGGTATGATGCAGCGTTATGGTTGTCAAATTCAGGTTAAAACCCAGAGTGGATGCCTGATCCCTGGATATGGGAGCCCCTAGCCTTCATTGCTTGTTTCTGCTCTGCCACTGGCAACTGTGAACACATTTCTTCTGAGGAAAATGTAGATGCTGGGAATCCTCTGAGAGTTAAAGGATAGCTTCTCCAATCTAAATTGAATAATCTGTCCTAATTCAGTTTGCTCTGTCATAATTTCTGTGAAGGCACATTAAGTTTCATAAAAACAGCATTATCTCTAAGATGACATTGGGACTTACATTGATATCTTCCAGATCTAAAAAGTTCAGCATAACGCCGTTGCGTTTCCAGATGATCGGAGGCCTCAGGGGTCCATGCACAGCACAAGTCAAGACGGTGCTGAGCCCGACCGTAACTGTGGTAATGCTGACCTTCTGCTCTTCAGCAAGGGTAAGTTGGACCACCTCTGTGGAAGGAATAACAGAAAAGAATTACCACAATTCTAATCCCCCCATGTGCAGCCGGGCTTTTCTCTGACTGACTGGTGGGTTTCAGCTACCACAAAGGCATGGACTGCAAAAAAGGTCAATGGTAGAAGAAGAATGTGAAAGGGATACACATCAACAAGCCTGTATTACAACATAATCTCCTATTTCATGCTCCTTGGTTGTCAGAGCATCTCTTGGCTGTTTAGCGATATCATCCATTCTCATTTGTATCCTGCATAATCAGATTTACATCCCCCCTTCATCCTAGCAGCCAGGAGTAAAAGCATAAATCTGAAGTTTGCAATAGACATGGCCTCTCAGCCAGGGAGAGCTGGTCTGGCAGCACAGCTCCTCATCCATTGCAGCTTCGTAGGAGTGCTGTAGGAGTGGTCCCTGGTGGGAAAGTGCTCCCGTTCGGAGACAGGGCTCTGCACTATGGACAGCTCCTGTAAAGGTCAGCATAAAAGTTGCAATGGGGGAGGGGTGCCACTGGCACAGGGAACGGGGTCTTTTCAGCCTGGAGTCTCCAGGGGGATCTACAGGCATGTGAGGGGGTGTCACAGGGAGATGGGTAGGGACCTGTTTTCCCCTGCAGAAGAGGGCAGGACATGCTCCAACAGAGCCAAGCTCAAGGAATCAAGGTTCAATTTGGATGCCAGGAAGCACTTCCTGACATTTAGGACCCCGAGGGTGTGGAATGGCCTTCCATGGGAGGTGGTTGAGGCCCCATCGGTGAGGGTGTTCAAGGATAGGCTGGACATGCACATGGTGGGCCTGTTGTGAGTGGAACCGGCTAGAGCTGGGGGTCAGACTAGATGGACCAGGAGGCCCTGACTGACTCGCTCTGTTTCTGTTTCTATGACTGTGCAAGTATCAGTGAAAATCAGATCATGTGAGTTCATTGAACAGTTGTAATAAACATGTGATTTACCAGAACTGCACCACAGTTTTGATTTATTTATTCAGTTTATTTCTAGATTAAAAACTCTCTAAAGTAAGGACAAGGGATCTGATCAGGATGTGTATTTATAATCACAATTCACATAATCAAAAAAATAAGACAACACAGGGTAGAAACAGAAGCAGCTGATCAAGGAGGGAATGATCAAAGCAGGTGGGAAGTTTGCCGTGATGGAAGTGGGAAAAATCAGAGTTACTACTGCAAAAGCATTTAGGAGCCACTGCTCAGACCAGGGGAAGCAATTAGCTTTCTGTCCACTTATCTCAGGAAACCAGAACACTCATCCTGCCAAAACAAAGTTGACCTCTGTCAAGAGCTATTCATGGGTACAAAACATGATGGTTATACACTGCCTCCAGGATCAGAGCAATATGCTCTGAATATCGGTCACTGGTGAAACAAGATAAACCCATATCGAAACACATGTGGATTTTTGCACAGACTTTTAAAAATCAGATTTGCAGACTGGTACAGGAATGGGACACCCTGAACTTAATGCAGGAAAGATGAAACACGAAGTGTAAATGCCTTTGGGCTTGAATGGCTTGACACCTCACAAAACCTGGCATTTGGCGTAATGAGATGTGGGACAAGGAGTGAGTGGGACCTTAAAGAGGCCCATTCCAAGACATGGGATCGGTCAAGGTGCGCGGCGTGTGCCACCCGGCCCTTTGGGCAAAGGACCAGCCTGGGCTTTGGGTGGTCATTCCTTATGGGGGCTGTGAAGGGTTTGCAAGATTTCTGATTGGCTGCTGACATGGTTCTTGTGGCCCTCACAAAGATGGCCCTCTTTAGCTAGCTGTGCAGATGGGTAATGGGGCTTTGAGTGTGGGGGGAATTACAGCTGTACGTTATTATTGCTGATATTACATATTGTATTATGTATTATAGTGTATTATTATCAATATTATGTATTGCTTATATTATGAGAGTGTGTGTTATATTATTTTGCATTGCGTACAATTAAATATTGTATTGCTTGATTGTATTGTCTGAATATGTTATTGTATTTTTATGGAATATATATTTTCTTGTTCTGTTGCAAGCCACCCTATGGGCTATGCGATGTTTTCACCTGGCATTTTAAAACAAGAGTTGGTGCCAGCTGTATGTCCATGGGGAGTGAGTCCCACAGTCTAGGAGCTGCTGCCAAAAATTGCCCCCCCCCATCCCTTTCTCCTTTGATCTCATGGGGGGGGGTATTCAGAGGAGGAGTTCCGAGGAGGATCTAAGTGGGCAGATAGGTATATATGGAGAGAGGCAGTCCTGCAGGTACTCTGGTCCCAAGCTATTTGGGGCTTTATATGTCAAAGACAACACGGTGAATTAAGCCCAGACTGGAAAAGGGAGTCAATGCAGCTGACAGAGGATCGGCGTAATATGTTCTTGCCCGCCAGTCTTTGGAAGCAACCATGCTGCCCTGTTCTGTATTAGTTGTAGTGTTCAAACTGTTTTCAAAAGTAACCACATGTGGCACACATTAATCCTGGCAAGAGGTTACCAGCACATGGATCACTGTGACAAGCCTTTGCTCTTCCAAATCAGAAGAAAGTTGCTCCTGGCCACTGAGTCCACCTAGAAGACCACGGAGAGCTCAGAGCCAGGAGCACCCCTAAGCTATGAACCTTACCCTTTAGGAGGAGTACAACCCCATCCAGAGGAGGCTGAAATTGTTCTAGTTGGAGTGCCTACCAGCAGCAACTCCACCTTGTCTGGATTCAGCTTCAGTTTATTGGCCTTCATCTAGCCCATTACCAAATTCAGGCACCAGTCCAGGACAGCCACCACCTCGCCTGGGTCAGTTGAAAATGTGAGGCAGAGCTGGGTGTTGTCAGCATACTGATGTCTCCTCAGCCCACCTCTTTGGATGACCTCATCCAGGGGTTTCATGTAGATATTAAAAAGCATGAGGGACAGAATCAATCTCCGTGGAATTCCATGACACAGTCACCATGGTGCAGAGTGACAGTCCCCTGCCACCATCTGGAACCAGTCAGTCAAGTAAGAGTGGGACCATCAGGAGGCCAATAGGAACTCTACCATTTTAGTGGAAAGGTTCCTACTGCCTTCTGCATGCTGAGATTCAGAATTGGTGCAGTGCCCTCCCCATCCACCCTCATCCCAGTATGGAGATGGGACGAGAGGAAAAGTCACTCCTGCTGAAATTCTCCCTGCCATTGAGTTCTTATAGCAGCACAGAAGGCCTACCAGAGAAAGGTGGCAGCCCAGAGGAGGTTGCACAGCAGCGTGCAGACCAAATGAGCTCCCTGCCATATTTTCTCTTCTGCTGGGAAGTGAATTTGATGATCCGTTGCTCAGCTTTGAAGCAAGCAGGATGGTCAGCTCAGGCAAACATTCCCACCAGACATGCACTGCACCAATTTTGCTGATTCTGAGTCTGATTCAGAAGAGGGGATGGGATGGGATTAAAGGGCAGGACTTGCTCAAGGCCCTGGGATTCAGCAGGGGGTGGAGGCACTAGGGATTAGCTCAAGGGAAAAGAGGGGGAAGAGGTGGGGACCAACCCTGGGATCAGTGTGGAGGCACAGGAGGAGGGAGGGGCTGTTGAGGCGGGGGAATCTTCAAATGGAGATCAGCCCCTCCCCTAGCAGCTGGCCCCTGTGGCCAGGAATTAACAGAGGTGGGAGGCCCAATTAGATGAAGTGTGTAGCAAAGAGTTGTACTTGCTTCCACAGTGCCCCCCTCCAAGGATTGGGACACACACATGCTCATAAGGAGAGTTTTGGGAAGTAATCACTAGATTAGGTTCAACAAACCACTTTGTCTACGCTCAGAGACTTGATGGAATGATCTATGTGTAAAAACAATAAATAGAACAGCTTGTCAGAGGGAGGAAATGAAGTTCACAATAATTCTAACCATTCTAAACACCTTTGTATGAATGGATGGTTAGACATCAGCAGGCCATTTCCTCCTTTCCTCATTCATACAACAATTTGTATTGGGATCATTAATAACATTGCTTAAGATGCAGACAGCCGTACATTTTACCCACTCAAAAAACACTACAGCAGAATTATCATTTGCAAAGCCAACTGTTATAAAAGATGACAACAACCACTTAGCTTCCTGTGCCTGGCTCTACTGACAGGTAAAGGCTCTACTGACAGGTAAAGGCACTTGATGGTGAAATTACTGTTGATGGTGGAGAGTTGTTATTAAGCATTTCAACTGGGGACACCAAGGAATGGTAGAGTAATCAGGCTGCATTGTCAAAACCACAACATTTACAGTTTTATCATTCCCTCGGTGCCTTTTCTTGGCTGTGCAACTGAGGGTTTGGCAAAAAAAGATCTTGGAACTATGTTTAATTTAAATGCTCCAAACTGAGCTTCCAAGTTAATAGCCCATCAAGATGACTTTTAAGGGGGGCAGTTCACTCCCTTTGGTATGCTGTTGATCCAGTCTGTGCCTGCCAAACAAACAATGGAGCAACTGCACTGATTCCAGGAGGCACAACATTTCTGGAGTTCATGTATACTGTATGCCTGCAGATTTCTGTTGTTTGGCAGCTGCTGGATGGATATTGCTCACTGAAAAACAACTGCCATGTTAAAAGAGAAAGAGAGAAATAATAAACCTTGACATCACTGGAATTAAAGCTGGCTAGGAATTTACAGGAGCCTTATCATGATTAAGTAACAGGAGTAATCAGGGTTGAGATCGAGCAGTTTCCTTTCAAAGCTGACGTTCTTCCAGAGGCAATATTTTTGCCACATTGAACGATTACATACTTTTGTTCATTTCGATAACAACCATAGTGCAATAAGAAATAAGCTGTTGATGTGGAAGAACCCAACAAGCTACACAAGCCTTTAAGAAGTGTAAAGTGTAGGTTGTAGTGATTTGCAGCAATGGAAAATTTGTTCTATTTGCGCTCAAGAGCCTCTCAACACTCTTCCAATCCAGTGGCAAAATTGGCTGAGGCTTCTGTAAAAGGGCTTGAAATATTCCTGCAACGTTGGAGTCATGGACCGTGGATATGTGTAAATCATA